CAATCGAATGGGTCTTATAAAGACATATCAAAAAGGAACAGGCAATCCTATACAGAATCTTGGACATGATGTTACAATTCAAGTCGTATGGAACTCGAATCAACATCAGTTCGAAGGAAAATGGTACGTACGAACGAACAAGTATAGTGGACAAGATAAGTTTCATCTCAACCTCGAAAAAAGTTATAAAGCAATGGAATAATAGAATATTAATTAATAATTCTTTTTTGTTGACTTTAATCAATAAATAAAAGTATAATACTTACGTATATGAATGAGTGTGAATATTTCATTTATATTTTATTCTCACCCACCCTCAATCATAATGATAAATGTATATGAGAACTGAATATGAATCTTTCTTGCTAGTTTAATTATAATACAACTGTTACGATACAGTAAAACAAGTAAGAATATATGTAGAGAAAAATGAAAACATAGGTGACATTTATTTGAGCGGATACCTTTGATAATGATGAAATTTTTGGGTCTATTTATAGTTTCTTATGATAAATACTTATCAATTCTATTCTGATAAAAAAAATAAAATTGAACAATTTTGTGAGGATCTAAGCGTATGATAAGAGCCAAAAACTAGCAGTAAGTGTGAATGCATATAAGCATCTCAGTAAAGAAAGGATCTATACGTCCACATCTTTAAATTATAGGTACTTGCTGAGATATATTTATGTGAATGGATTTATTTCAGCTTATATGTATTTTGCGTAAATATATCATACGTTTAATTATTTTAAATCTTTTTATGTCTTTTTGTCATTCTTCCATTATTACTCTTCGTGATAGCCGTTGGTTTCCTTCATCTTCTTTTTTAATAACTTTTTTATATATTTCAACATCTTTCCGACATTTGGAGTGCCAAGTCCTGTTACAGGATCCCAACCACAACTAGCTTGAAAACCTTTACACTGATCATTGCAGGTATCTCTTACACATATGTTATCCCCTGATGTTATATCTTTAAAACACTTTGGACAGTCTTTGGCCATCTTGTATAACAATGGATTGAGAAAACCTAATGTTCGATTTGTCATATTTATCGAATATGAATTCAGAATTGAGACAATACCAGCCCACATTGGTGCTGACATACTCGTACCACCAACTTTTCTGAAAACACCGTTCCATACAGTAAAACTATATACACCAAGTGCAGCCACATCGGGAAAAGCACGCCCATATTGATTGTACATTGATGACGGAGGATACTCTTTTGGAAATTCACTATTCAGACATTGGCTTTCTTGAAAGTATCGGTTAACAACATCTTTTTGGTAGGATGGTTGGACCATAACAGTGGAGAATCCACCACCACTGGTGTAGCCGTAATCCATACCAGCAGCGACTTCATCTCCATCTGATACACAGGAAACCGGTGCTGTCTTATTCAAACAAACCGATGGTTGATAAGGCAATGTTTCGTACATCATATTCATCAATTCAGTTCCCCCAACTGATGTGATGAATGAAGAGGTGCCTGGATATCCAGGATAGAACACTTTATTTGTGCAATTTACTGTTTCATTATTTCCTCCAAGACCATTCGCTCCATCGTCACCACTTGAAACTAAAATTGTTATACCTCTCATTCCTAGTTTCATGAATTCAAGATTTGTACGATCTATGTATTTCTGAGATGCGATCATGATCTTATTATCACAGTCGCTAACAACTGAGCATATACCTATTTCAGGTTCAGTGTATGACACAGACATAACTTGTGGTATATCATCCAGTTGATTTAAGAGAAGTGCAATTGAGAAGAAATTTTCACCAAACCCTGAATCGTTAAAGCTCTTATCATAGTTGAAATACCAAGTTTCAGCTGAAGGATTTAAACCAGACATCTGTTCGACATCTAACATTGTTTCGAGACCTGGATTTGATTGATTATTACTTCCACGAATATGATTTTTCTTAAGAGATTTAATCGGTAACTCGAGTAATTTCGCATATAAAAGTAAATCTTGTTCACGATAGTATTGACCAAGAAATTGTAATGATCCTTGTGAGATAACTGATGATGGATCATTTTTTTGAACTTCTGGAATGTTATAGTATTTTTTAACGAATTGTGGGATAATGTATGGTTTTGTCACGATCGCAGCGGTTGTTGCAACAATTGTTGTTGTATCACTAGTTGATGCATCAACTGAAGCGGAACGAATTGTTTCATATGATTTGGTAGGTTTTTTATGAATCACTCGAAAATCATTTAATCCAAGATGAAACTCAACATGTTCGTTTATTTCATCTGGCAAACAAATGTCATCAAAAGTTCGATGAATGGTTCGTCCTGTATTAGAATTTTGATAAGGATGAAATTCAGTTGAAAAATGTTTTGATGCTTGTTCAACTGTTGTTTTAATCTGAATTGTATCATCTCCGATAAAGTTTACAGATATCAGAGATTCCTTTGCAATCCAACGTTTGATTGCATTCAAGGCTTCAGTATTAGTTTTAAGAATTGCGTTTATTTGTGAACGTGTTAACCATTGTTGATATTGATTGCTATCGGGATTGGTAATCTTCCAAAATAATGATTCGAATTTCTTTCGTGCTATTGGATCTTGTTTTATAATTAGATAAAATGTAATTGATTCATTTGAATGCGATGGCTCAGATGAGAATTTTTTCCAAGGATGAGGCGGAGAACCTTGAATAATAATACATAGAATGAGAAATATAAGTGACATAAAGATTTCAAGAAAAAATGTTTGGGTGTCTATCTCTTACCCATCCGTACCTCAAGATAAAAGTTGTTCTTTACCTTTCAATACACGTTTTTGACATTTTGTTGTACTTGGTTGCGGTTTTATTTTACTAGGTTCATTTGGACGATGCACTGGTTTTCCTAAAAACACATTGTTATTTATCATCTTGATCTTAAAAATATCAAATGTTAACAAGAGCTATGTTAATAAACGAGCAAGTTTTCTTCTCGAGAAATATAACATTGGAAGAATAAAGTGATTTAAATTTAGGTTAGATGTTCTTATTATAAAAATACTTGTTTCATTTACATAGATGAACTTTTTCCTCTGTCGTTCTCTGTCAAAACTGCGACATTTGATAATATTATCAGGATTTCCGTGCTAGGCTCCATATTTATACAATATTTTACTATTGTGTGAGCTATTTTGATTTAAAATCTGATTAAACTGACTCAAATATAGGAATTGAATATTATTCGAAGCTACAAATCTATTACGTGGTCTTTTATAATAATAATTGTTCACATTCGAAGCAGGTCGATATTTGTTTTCTTGTTCTTGTTCTTGTTCTTCTGATGATTCTTTTCTGTCTTCTTTTTCTTCCGATTCATATGTAGAATCTATATTAGATCGTGTTTCATACGGTTTGGAAATCGAGAATGAACCAAGATTAGTGCGAACACCACCCTTAAAACCGCCATGTCTAGAGTTGATCATTGGAATATTTGGACCGGTTACTAATAAAGTAATAAAAAGATATTGAAAAATGGTCGAAAGAAAGAAAACTAACAGGATTGTCTTTGGAAAAAACGATTCATATGAATAGGATCAACCAGTGGTCCACCATTACGGTATAAGCTCGCATCTTTAGAAGCGATGAGCTCTGCAATCGAGTATGAATCACCATAGGTATTAATCAATGGAGGTATAACATAGACTAAAACGATAACTTATCATTAATGACTTTTCAGAAAATTAGGACTCATGTACTACCTTCTGTTTTTGAATAAATAATTGTTTGTTTTGTGGATCGATCGGCAACGATTGGAGTCCAGGGCATGAACGAAAGAAAGGGACCCTTAAAAGCTTAAAAGAAATATATAATCAAATCGAATCAGAGAAAGAAATAATATAGTATACGCATGTCACGACGACTATATCGAGCAACAGGAAAACGAAATCGTTGATACGATCGTCTACCACCATCACGACGACCCTTTGAACGAATATAAGTATTCATATAACCAGTACTTTTAGATGAACTAGATCTCTATAATTGAGTGAAAATGTACATAGTTGACTAGAAACAACAAACATAATACTTACATCCCGGTGAACATACGATCGTAGTTGAGGAAGTTTTTCATTGTTGTTTTCAACATTGTCCTCATCATCTAATTTTTCGAGTTGTTGTGATGTTTTCATTTCTGACATCTCATTGTCTATGTCTGTCTTCTCTCCACTTTCCCAATCATGCACCATCTTTGTTTCATCTATTGAAATATATTTTACAATCATAGTAATATCTAGCATAAATTTATAGAGTATCCTATAGTTATTCTGGTATAGAAGTGAGAGACACAATGAGTAAACTCTTTCCTAGAGTAAAGCTCTTAGACACTTTTAATAGGTTTTGTAATACAGAAATTTTTAAAAATTCCTAGAGGGTTTTCAGGTTTGCAGAGGAGATTTTATCATTTCTTGTATTAATATATATGAATTCCATATGCTTTGACGTTAGAAACTTGAAACATACTAAGTTTCAAAGCCAAATATTGATAATAAATTTCGGAAACTACTCAAAATGTTTTGAGGTAAGGTAAAACTCTAACATAGCGGACGAATCACATCTACTGACATCTATGTCCTAATTATTTGATCTGTTTTACCTTGTTCTCTCACAATATTGGCATCAGTGACTAGTGTTGCTCGATGATAGTGCAACGCTATAATGCCAACACTAACGATGAAGAGAAGTAACAAGCCTGCACACATAAATTTTATTTTAGTTTTAGAAACAGCATGTATCCATGTAGAACTAGAATTCATTTGAACAAAATATATACTTTTTAATTAATTGGATTCTCAAATGCTTACATTGTTTTCAATGGATGTTGTTGTACAGCCACCTCTGGAACTGTTCCCTGTTGATGCTCGTTCGTCGTCGTATATTGTAATTCTGATTCAACCCTGTGGTATTGATTACTCACAGACATCTTTGATTTTAATATATTAATTAGTCGTTCTATTTAATATAGGAAGCGATCTAAAAGAAATTTTAAATTGGCAGATTGATCTGGAATTACATGAGTATGAATTCTGGGAGCCACTGCATGAGAAGGACAACCGATTTCCCAATATGCGTGCTCAATGATAATCACGGATAGGCATGTACCGAGCCCGAGCCTCTCGGGCTCGGGTAGGCTCGGGGCTCGGTCAGGCTCGGGGCTCGGGGTTCGGTAGGCTCGGTCACAACTCGAGGCTCGGTGTCAGGTGGATGTAGGAGTGAATTTCTTACATCTGAGCCCGATCGACCCCGAGCCTACCGAGCCCCGAGCCTTGACCGAGCCCCGAGCCTACCGAGCCCCCAGCCCGAGAGGCTCGGTCAAGGCTCGGGCAAGGCTCGGGCTCGGTACATCCCTAATCACGGATCAAAGTTTGGCCGCGACCACCTTGTAGAGAATTTTTTTCAGGGATAAATCCAAATTTCTAGCCTTAAAGCGTGAAATCTAACTGAGATATGAATTACCGACTGAAAACACCAAAATGGGATTTTTTCAAATTTTGAGTTTGAGGGTGTGGATATAGACATGGGTGTGCGCTAGGGAGACTGAGGGGACTAAAGAGATTAGTGGGGAGTAGGGCGATTACTGGGACTAGAGGACATGGGCGACTAGAGGGATTAGAGGATCTAGAAAAAGCAGGGGGGACTAAGAGGAGCAGAGGAACTAGGGGGACTAGTGGTATGGATGTATCATGTTTATGCTGATTTTGACATCCACACCTAGCTATTAAGTTATTTCAGCTGTGGTGAAATATTACCAGAATTTAGGACAGCGGAAAGCAGCTGAGTGTGGGATGCTGGAGGGATAGATGAATTTGCTGAATAGTGGAAAAGTTCAGATTTTCCACTATAATAGTTGAATCTAACTTTCGAGTTTGATACTACTGTCTTAGTCCTTCTAGTCCCCCATATCCTCTAGTTCTCCTAGTCCCCAATGCCCTCTAGTCCGTGTAGTTCACCTAGTCCCCCTTAGTGCTCATAGTCCTCCATGTCCGCTAGTTCCCATAGTCCACGATGTCCTCTAGTTCCCCTAGCCCCTTTAGTGCCCCTAGTTCTCCATGTCCTCTAGACCTCTAGTCCTCCTAGCTCACATCGACACCCGTACCCACACCCTCAAGAGTACTTGAATTCGAAATTTTAGATAAATTAAAAACTTGAGTAAAAGTTAAAAACTCATACTAAATTAACCATTTCTACACTACCGATCTATTGTCTTAGTACTTAAATCATCTAAAATAAATGCAGTAAAACAGTAAAATGATAACAATTTGAAATCAAACCATAAATATTCGAAAACTAATACTATTTGCATCATATATAAAAAGAAATGAAAACATCTGTATGTTTCACACTTTTACTTATTATAATGGTAGCATATGATAACAAGATAAAGCAGTCATAAGACCCATTGCTTTCGTCAATATTATTATTTTACTGTAATATATTTTTAGAACAAATAATTCGAAAGCATTGGAAGATAAAAAGGAAAAAGAACATACAAGGCGTTTTACATTTATATATTTCTGATGAGAATAATTTCGTTATCGTCACACTGTAAGAGAGTTAGAAATTTTATTAGTTTATCATTTGCCTTTTTTATTTATACTTCATAGTTTAGTTTCAATTAAATAATTATAACAGATGGCTCAATTTGAGACTTATAATTAATTAAAACAATGAAGAAAGAACGGCAAACAACAAAATTATGTTTTAAATAAAAAGTTAATAATTTTTTTTAGAATCAATAATGGTTTTTGTTACAAAGAAGCACAGTAACATGCTTTCCTTATGATAGATTTTATTTTGACGGTTTCAAAATAGTTATTTGTATTCGATAAGAGATGAATACTTGTCTCAATCCACAAGATATTTTTTTCTTTCAAGTATATGTCTTTCAAAATATATACAAAAATATTAGAAACAAATGCAATTAGATAAGTATATCTTGTAAATATAATATTTCTAATTGATTATAAAACAATAGATATCTTTTTCGTGAAATTTACATATAAAAATGTGTGTGTGAACTATAAACTGAAGTTTTGCAGTGTGGGTATAGGTACTACATGGATGATGAATCAATCCAAATCATCAAAATCACACCTGTCTACGCGTACATCCTGATAAAAGAACGATGATTGTTTTTGTTAATAATCACGATGAATATGTATGATTGCATATTTTAGCCCCCAGGCAGCTGCGCTGACAAGTTTTTTTCTTCTTTGACGGCGTTGGTGTAGATAAAAAAGAAAGGAATCCAAATCAATACCCTCAGCTTTTCATAATAATGAATAAAAAAAAACTATAGTTTCAAATTGTCATAATTTAGAAGATGATCTTTTCAAATAATTTTAAGCTATTAAATTAAAACTATCTTAAGTTGATGGATTTAATGAAAATATTTCAATATTATTGTAATATAATAATAATTGTCTTCTTTTATTCTTCTTAAATTTAATATGGTTTATTAACAGAATGATAAACATATATTCGAGATAAATTTGCTTTATTATCAACCAAACAAGTATGATGATGACAGTATTGAAAAATTAGAGAGCGAAGATGTAGGTAAATAAAAGATTGATATTCATATAATCAACAAAAGCACGTTGTTTGCATACAATGGTGAAAGAAAGAAAAAAAAGTTATCTGTATATAATAATATGATATGAGTAACAAATATTGAAACGAAATATATATAATAGATGTATACATAATATTTACCTGATTTTAGTTGAAAAAAAGTTGTTGTTACAGTGATATTTTGGTGTGGGTACGGGTAATAATGAAATTAGTTATAAAACAACTATCATTAATTGGAGTCGTACACGTTGCAGAGAAAAACGAAGAGAATAATATTCTACTCCATTTTAATCCCCGACCTAAATCTGCATTAAAAAAGTTAATTCTATCTGAAAGACAAGATTTTTGTCATTTTAATTTTCGATAACCACTCGTCAATCAACCTCAAATATTTCCTCATGATCTTTATTATTGACAAGTTACTATCGATAAATGAAATATATAACAATCTACCTACATGTTTACAGATTAGAGAATGTTCGATACTCATTGATAATACAATTGATCAATCAGAATACAAGAGAAGTTATATTCAAAGACTCTAAATAAATCAGAATATGTTCGTGAGGAGGCAATAAATATGACACGAGAAATTAAAAAAATAACACAAATTTTAACTGAACATATTGATATACTGATGTTACAAAAATATTTAAGTGATAAAATAAAGGGTAGATATAATTTATTTGAAATATCAGTACCAAACATAATCAATACGGAAGAACGACAAATAAACGAACAAGTTTCAGTACTAATTCCTTCACTATAACAATATCCAGGCACAATTTGAGAATCAATACTTGTTAATATTCATTATATCCTAATATCTCATCCTTTAAATGTTAATTACTTTAAATCATGAAGCATTTGCACATAAAGACAGATATAATCTTACGAATAACTTCGTTTTTATTTTAGACAACAAAGAAGTATACAGACTTAACAACAACAAAAAAAGAAAGCGTCTAACTTATTGACCAAAAAATAAACGTTTCACTTCTTTCCGAAATGTTTTCGATATAAATAAATATGCATAACAACCAATACAAAATGAAATATCAGCAAGAAAAGATCCTACCAAATTCAAAAAGATGCTCATATGTGTGAAGTCGTTATTTTGTACGATTTGGTAATATATAATAACAACTAACAGCATTGCATTACATGCTATATAAATAAAAATATCTACAGCTACCATTAAAACAAATTGTCGATCTTTGGAGTGAAAGAGATGTACAAAGTTTGCCGCTGTATTTCCAGTGTTCGGTGGCACAGGAGCAATGCGTCGATGACGCACTTTTCGAATGTTTTTTGCAGTCCATATGGCAAAAATAATCATTAACAAAGGCACTATAATTGCTGTGACGAACAATGAATAATAACCTATGAGAAGGGTGTATAGTCCTGCTCGAGCGTAACACATAAAATAACCAGGTGCTATTTCTTGTATATCTACTAGAATTAATGTATGACAATGAAACAATATCCAAAATAATGTTCCACAACCGATACAAATATAAGCTAAATGACGAGTACTTCTTTGCCGTGCTCGAACATTTGATGATGTGACTAAAACCCGGTCGATTGAAGCTAAGATAACATAAAATGGACTGAGAATATCAAATAAATATAATATGTAATAACAGAAACGACATGTGAAGAGATTAGATTTAGTAGGATCTATTCCATAGCCAAGTGCTAATGTAGTCAATAATACTGATATAGTAAGATATAAGAAATTAGCGATATTTACTGCTATCAAATAGATCGAACATGGACTTTTACGTAGATTTTTTTGAGTGAAAACCATCAGATTGATGACACAACTGACAATACCAAGTACCAATAATATTGGACCACCAATTCGAAATAAATTTGTCTGTATTGATTCTAACGATGTAAGAAAACCGTCCGATGAAGACATGTTACTTTGAGGACAACTTTGATATATGTGAAAAATGTTTTTTTTCTTGTTGAATGCAAAACTTTTAAATGAAAGAGTAATAATAATGAGTCGGATATAATTGTTTGATTTAGTCATGTCACAATAATTTGAAAGAAAAATAATTAAGTCTCACGAACAAAGTAGAGATATTTTTAATAAATTTAATGAGCGTGTAACAATATCTGTCCCTGTTTATCTTGTCCTTTCATTCTCTTTAATGGGCGAGTTTATTAATATATGCTTTATATATAAATAATACAATACAAGATAAGAAGAAATATAATAAAGTGTAATATCATCAGAAATCGTCATAGAGAGTGAATTTAATTGCTACTTTGAATTGATGTTCAACAAGAACGCGTCTTTCTTTAAAATAGATCTATTCAAATTTGAATAAAAATATAACAATTAGTGATAGTCACTCTTTCATTGTTGATTAGCGTGCGACATAGCTCTATGAACACCGTCAGATACGTTATCAAGACTTCATAAACCTATAGATGCATTTCAAAGTTAGTTTAACCCATAGAAACTAAAACTACAATCAACAAAAATAGAATTGATTCGAGAGACTGCGACCATTGGGAGAGAGGAGTATACGTCCTTTCAATAAATAGAGATTTTAGAATTATACACTCTCAAGTTCATGTTCATATCTCAAGATATATAACAGTGGAAAGAGTGCCTATCTTTGATGGGTGTGGGACTTCATTATTCATCGATGTCTATACCCACTCCTTAATCTCAGAAAATTTTCGTTTAAGAAGTAGAGAAGTGTTTCCGATAAACTGATTAAAACCCTTTTTTTTATGAAACGATATAAAGTAATGACGTCTACTTAACGTTAAAGAAAACTTTTTTATCGTTGTATTAGATAAATCCACATAGATAAACTAGACTTCCTTCAATTGTATGTTCGTATGCATCATTCTTTAATTCAAATGATTCTAAATTATTAAATTAGCCATTCTTAAATATTAAATGCAAATCATCACACCGTAAAGGCATGAATGAAGAAATTTTGATTTGAAAACAAATGCAAACAGATATTTAAATTATCTATACGTAAATTCAACATTAATTAAATAAATTATGTTGTAATAATATATCATTTAATATGGTTTATTAATAGAATAATAAGAATATCTTGAAGACAATTTTTTGTCATAGACAAACAGGTTTGACGATGACAAAGTTCCACAATTGGAGAGAGTGAAAGTACAGGTGAATAAAAGATTGATATTCATATCATCAACAAAACCACGTTGTTTGTGTACAATAGTAAAGATCAAGTAATATCTATACTTATCGCATATATAACTTACGTAAAAGAACGCAGGATATGCGATAAGAGTATTCCAGAGCGGCAGGATTGGTCGAGTCAAAATATTTTTTCTATTATTTCGTTCTCTGTTTATTTCAATGAGAATATATTACCAACAAATTGTTCATGACGCGCCACATAGTTCCTAGTTTTTATGTACAAAAAAGACAATGTGAAAAGAAATAACTGTTATTGATTTACAAACAAAATAAACTCTTCTGTTTTGTAGAGTTCCACGCTAAAATAACGAAAACATCATTTACACAAACAAACAGCTAAATTTAATTAAATCTCTCTCAAGTAAAACATATATACTGCTATTTCAATTAATGTTTTATTGCAAATATTACTTTCTGAAAAACTTGAGCAATACGATCTCCTTAAGAGACTACTTTGAAAAAACACTATTTCATCTTCTCTCTTCATTCTCATTCACATGCTCAGATATTGTCATATTCTAAGTACCATTGATGACAATTATCATTGCAAAATTTTAACAATAAAACATGTGCATATAACGAACACACTTCATCTATATTACTTAGTAAAAATAACAACGCTGCCTAGAGTATAACTTTACATTTAATATACGTGTGGACATTTAAAAAACAGAATGAGACATATAAAATATGTATTCAAGAATGTGTATAGATTATCGTTTGTGATTATATGATTAGATAAATAGAAAAGGATGTTGAACGAATTATTTGAATGCAATATAGATATATACTGAAAGGTGCAATCAAGACTTCATCAGCAGTGACAGGTTCTCTTGCGGATCATATTTATGATTAGTTGAAGCATCTAATATAGAATTTTGAATATCGTTAAATAATTGAAAACGTTCGAAATCAAATTGATTGATCAATTTTAAATATTCAGGAATATTTTCTTCGTTAAATCTATTTCAATTCTGATAATATTAAGGAAAACCTGGCGACGTTCATATTTAATTTGTTTAATGGGAATAATTAAAAGAAGAATCATCAGACAGAAAAAATGCACTAAACCTTAACAATGAGAAATTATAGAAATGTACTGCAAGTTTTCTATTCAGCAAATCACGAGTCGATGAACTGCTAAACCTTTGTTAGTAGTACGTAATATACTTTCATGTTTTTTAAATAAAGAGATACGTTTTGAATATATATTTTATATTTTAACTCAAAGCAAACATTTCATCAATTTTAAATTGCTAATATCCATTAACAGGCCTTTTTCTTTTCTTCGATGGTAAAAAAAGACATTTGAATTACTTCAATTAAGATTTATATTTAGAGTGAAATTATAGAGTTATTCAGTGTATTAGTTGACAATGAGTACATAGACTGATGTATTTTGGGGTTACGAGAACTAAGGTGTACTTTACTCAAATATGACGAGCAATTTAAACTGAATGTCTCTCCAGGAGACAATCAACAAAAAAAAGAAAAACAATAATGATAGATGCACTTTTTTTGTTTCATTCTATTAAAAGCGAGCTGATTATTTGCAATTCCTTACGTTGAATTCAATAGAGAATATGATACTATCAGTCATCTTTCTTCTTCTGACAATTATAATTATTAATTGTAATTGTACAACTCGTATCGGTTCTATTAATAATGCAATGTACGTTTCAAACGATACCACGACTATTATCAAGTACAAGAATACTTGCTCAGAATGCATTTGTAAAGCATTTTTTTCTACCGTGCCCCAAGCATATGTAGGACTAAACTGCTTTACAAATAATAAAACATGCGTTTTATTTGTCAACTACTCATCATCAGGAAGAGTAATGGATAGCTTCAACTCGACGTTTATATTTATAACGCAGCCGCTATCCCAAAATGCACTCAAAGGTAATTAAAAATCCAGTACTTGTCTAAATATTCAATATAATAGTATTGATAAATTTCTTCAATACACTTGTGTCGATCGATGTTAGAATGAAAAACATCATTTTCCTATATACTTCTATAGAACACCTCTTGTAAGCTTTTGTCAGTTAATTTATAGACAAAATCCAATTTCTCTGCTACATATCACAAATGAAAATGATGATTACGATTTTATTAATCTAGAACATATTGAGAATCAGTAGCTGCTATTACTTGTTAGAAAATCTGATAGATATATAAATACCAGAGAAAAGTTTTATTGGAATAGTTTATCAACTAATACATAGCAAACATTTCTGTCAGATTCTATAAGCGAATATCCTCGAATACAGCTAACAAGAATAAAACGATTAATTAAATATCACTTCAACAGAGATAAGAAGAACTAGATTGACGTTTATCAAATGTAGTTCTTCAATAATTTTCGATGGCTACAAAATTTTTCTTACTTACTCTAGCAACAACTACTACTATGATTCCCCCATCTCAATACATGAAAATCATTAATCCAAATGACACTATTGTTGGTATTTTTAACACATCGGCTGGTTCATCGAGCGGTGTCAATGTAGGCAATTGGGTGTCAGATGAAAGTCCCTCAAGCGCCTTTGATGACGATATAAACACAAAGTATTTAAATTATGCTGCTGGTGATACTTCGATTACAAGTGGTCTCCAAAGTGGTTTTTATGTTACTCCTCTTATTGGTCGTTCAATTGCAACAGGAATTCAGTTTGCTACAGCCAATGACAACTTTGAAAGAGATCCTATAACAGTAACACTTGAGGGTAGTAATAATGCAAGTGCACAATTATCTTTAGGAGCGAGTTGGAAACTAATATATTCAGGTTCTACTGGTATTAATGCATCTGTGGATCCGGGCAGAATGACTTATGTAGCAATGCAAAATTTTAATAATACTCTTGCTTATACCAGCTTTCGATTATTAGCCACATCCAAGCGAGCAAGTTCATACGGTGTTCAGTATAGTGAAGTTAGTATTTATAATTTCGTTTAATAAAGAATACAGGTCAATTTGATGCATGAAAGATTTTGTTTATCATGATTTTTTGTATTCTAATGTCGGGATTACACAATAAATATTGTTTTAATCACATGATTATTATCTGCATACATAATTTATCTCATTGAAAAAGATATCCGATTTGCTTTTGGATGAAAGTGTGGGTGAGAATAAAGAAAAGATGAATCCATACTCACATCACCACCCTCAAGACGGTTTGATTTGTTACATTGATTTGAAGTCATAGGTATTTTCTTGTTAGTATTCGACTGAGTCTCAACTGAACGATCTAAATATATTCAGTTATCATTATTTTGAATAGAAAAAAAAGGAAATTCATTGTCTCAATTAATGCTTTGTTATTGATAATAATCGTATTCATAAAAGTTGAAAATATTAGTATATGCGAAGTAAAACAATGGTGTTGTTGCTGTTGCTTATATTTTTAAATCTAAAGTTAGTCGTGGTATATAAAAAAAATGAAATTTTGTTTGGTTATTACGCATTCTATTTATACTTTTTTTAAAATATTACGATTCTGTTGTTAATCAAATGATTCACGCATACATTGAAATAAAGTGGCCGATATAAATGCCGTGGGTGGGTGTCTGCATGTGTCAGGATGCGGAGATGTAGGTGTGTTTGAATGTGGATGTGGATTTGGGTGAATGTGGGTACTAGGTGAATACACTATCCACATGTACACTAATACCCACTCCTTTTCAAATGCACGGGAACGATCAAAAAAGTATGTTTTGTCTTGTGTCTCGTGTATTAGAACATTGCTTGATATTGTCATGAAGTCTCTCTTAACAATGATAATATAGTGACTTCTGTCGTACAATAGGTACATAGCCATTTGCATCATGTTACAGACGGACACAGATGAATTTCTTTTCCTAGACCCTATTCTTTCAATTTAAAGAATATGTAATCATATCCGCTTGATAAGTTTGTATTTAAATCTCCAGACGGCTGTAGTTATTTTAAAGTATTATGAAACTAATTTATACATGTAATGACATTTATTGAATGTCAACTATTTACAAAATGATTTCAAATAAAATGATTCTCTAAAAAATCCTGCTAAATTTATGCTAGTATTATGGAAGAGCATCTTTTCCTCTCTGTTATAACTTGTCGCGTACAACAAATATCTGTTTTCGATTTTCATTCATCTTGTCTTTTTGAATTTAAGTATAATTTTTCAAATGCAGTCGAATCATATAACGCACTTGAAAACGACAACGATTTATATATAATCGTACTTGTCTATATTGGTTGATGTCCTCTTGAATCTTCATTTAGGTAGCGTATGCGATAGTCTAAGAAGCGTTAGAGAATACTCCATATTAAAAGACTTTGTTGCTTAAATATGATTGACCGGAGCTGAATTGATGACCTATTCCCACCAAATCCAAAAATTACAATTAGTTGTAGATACAATCTATACATACATAATACGAACCTAAAAAACTTCTATACATTCACCTAACACAATTATATCAGATTTATATTTATCACGTGTACGTGGTTTCTCGATGCATGAAGGACATTATGTAAACTTTTAGTTGTGGTGATCGTTCTTATTTGACATCTCGTTTGTTTCGTTAGTGATCTATTGCTTTCTAACGTTTATAGTATATATTGATAGTCCGATGCTGAGTTTATTGCTAAATTCTAATTATTTACTGACAGAAATGTGATTTGTACTAACGTTGTTTCAAACGCTTTATTTTTTTTCCTCTTATCAAAAGACATTGAATGGTGAATTTCTAAAACGTATTCATGATTACTAAAATTATATGTTATATCATTTTTTTTCTCTATTTATTCTTTCTTATTCAAGCATAAAATGTATACACCTTATACGATCAGTTATTTTTATAATGACTCATCAACGGTAAAAGCTACATTCATAACTTAACTAGCCAATATTTTATTAAAATACTTGTCTATTATTTTTTATTTCTTGATAAAGATTTTCAAAGTTTACTGTTACTGAAGAAAAAAAAACATATTGAGTTTAGTTTGAATTCGATTAATCAATATTATAAATTATCATATAAAATATTCTGAAATTATTTTATTTCAGTACAAAAAATATTTCTCTATCGTATTTTAATTGATATGAAATTTAGATTAAATGCAAACATTTTTCTTGTAAAGAAAAATATTACGATATGTATTTAATAATTCAAGTTATTCATAAGAACTTTCTTTCATATAAGTATCCTTCAAATATTAAATACTATCGAATAAACTCTTTCATCCCACCATATATTATCGTCATCATAAAAGTGCGCGCGAATCAAAGTATATTTATATAAATAGAAAAATATTATGCATCATTTAATAGCACGTGGTAGTAGTCATATGAAGTTATACATAGATCAAAATATACTTGTAAAAAATAATAATCCATCGTTCGATTAGTGTGGTGACGTCATTCAATACGGTTTTATATTTTTAGTGTATAATTTCGCATGTTTTTTCTAAAACAAAATAATGTATAAAAGATTTGTACGGTATAGTTCGAATACACAAATTCTATATTTAGTATAGATAATGATATGCATACGCCTATATAAGTAAAGTATTTATCCAGTTATTCTCTCAATATAAGATAAAACAACGTGTTAATCTTAAGGTAAAAATATGAACGAACAACAAAATCAAATACAAGTCAAACAGCCAGATACGATGTTTACTTTATTTGATAAATTTGACTATGTATTTTATCCAGCACAAGTTATCAATCCACATCATAAAAATGCTCGTGATAAGATGCTCAAACAAGTTATCAAGCATCAAGGCTTACTAGTTGATGATGAACCATTAATTAAAGGTATCGATGGTCATAGTATTTTTTCTGCTTTTGCTTTCCCACATACATCCGAATTTCGTCTCACATTACTTGAACAGTTTTATGCCTGTGTTGCTTTTATTGATGATACTTATGATAAATTAGAATGTATTGATTCACATTATACCCAAGCAATAAGACAAATTTTTCATGATCAACATAAGAAAATTGAAATTGAACAATTTAATCGGTCACAAATAATGATTTTAACATTTCTTCAAAAGATTTTTATTCAAATGAAACAAAATTCACCAGATAATTGGTTTAATCGAATGATGAAAAATCTTTTAGAATGGTTCGAAGCTACTGCTAAATCCAATCATGATGGTATTGCTGTTCGACATCTATCAATAGATGAATTCTTTAAATTACGTTTAATTGAAGTAGGAGTGATTCCAGCACTGGACATTATTGAATTTGCTCATGAACGGTAAAAGATTTTTTTCACTATTTATTAATAATATTTGCCCTTGAACTTTCTCAGTCGGATATAAAAGTAAATTTTGCTTATTTCACTGAAATTTGTATAGTAATAACAAATATTTTATCAAATACCGTTATCTAATTAGGAAACATAATTTGGGTATATAGTTTCTAATTGTCAAGATAATCAAATTAGTTTTTAAGAAATATCCCCTTTTCAATTGCACTGTATGTAGATATCTATCGGATGAAACTATTTCTCATCCATATTTTGTACGCATTCGATCGTTAATCTGTGAACATACAGCAATTAGCAATGACTGTTATTCCTATACCAAGGAATGTATCAAGAATCAATTATCATGTAATTTTCTTGCTGTTCTTCTTTCAACTTCAACCATGACGTTTGATGAAGCTGTTAACGAAGGTATTGAACGATGCAATGATCTTATTCGTAAAATACTCGAATTGGAGATATTAATTATCGAAGAATTTCCTGATAATGAAGATGTCAGTATTATTTTACGTGGATACAAAGAAATCATTCAAGGTCATCTAATGTTTTCTCAAGCATCGGCACGATACAAGAGCAATCGATCACCATTTGCTGATTTAAAAAAACCTTCGTTGGACCACATAAACAATGAAAAGAATAAAAACTAACAAAAATATTCGATTTTTAGTATACTTTCCAACTATGACTCTTTTTTTATTATCGGTTATCATGATTGATATCGACTACATAACATAAGTCTACTGACATTTTTTGTTTTCTCTTCATCTATTACTAATTTTCAACACTTTTTCTAAGAAAAACGAAATATGAAAGACAATAAAAAATATAAACGAATCTATCTTTTTATCATTTATAATATTTTATATAAAAAAAAACAACGACAAAGTGTCAATGTGATTGTAATTAACAAAATCTACTTTTCGATTATAAAACTGTTTGATCTTGAAATTCACCTGTCTCAACTGAATTAGTACTTGATTAAGCTGGTCGGAAAGAATTCATACACGATCATTTTACTTCTGAATTATTCTAAATTAATGCTCCTCAAAAAAAAACTATTTAGGAAAAATACATACAAAATATGTTTATACAATCTAATCAATGGTATCGACTCTAAACAACTGAATATCTAATAGAAAGATTATGAAACATATAGAAATTTTTAAAAAAGCTTATCAGCGCAGCCCCGTTGGGGCTAAAAATGTGGAACTCACGTATGTTCGCATCAAAATATTTGACCACGTTTAAGTGTTTTGTTTTCTTTTTATGCTCAAATTTAATTAATTTATAGCTATTTTTGACGATTTCTGGTTATTTTTATTAATTTCCAGCAGTATATAGCTATTTTTACCGATTTATCGTTATTTTCATAAAAATTCGCGCAATTTTTAGCCATTTTTAACTGTTTTCGTTATTTTTATTAAATTTGAAGTAATTTATGGCAATTTTCAACTATTTTTGCTTATTTTTATTAAAATTCTACTAATTTATAGCTATATTTGACTATTTTACTTATTTTTATAGAAAATCCCACAATTTATAGCTATTTTTAAGGCTTTTTCATTGCTTTTATTAAAATTTTAGCAATTTATAGCTATTTTTAATGAATTTTGCTTATTTTTATTGAATTTTTTTGGGGGGGGGGGGGGGGGGGGGGGGGGGGCTTGAAAACCTGAATTTAAAAATTAACCTCACGATTTTCTTCGAAAATTTACGTGAGTTCCACAAAAGAATAGAGAAGAAAGATTTGTTACTATAAAAAAGGATCCATTATATAATGGGTGTGAATGTGGGTGTTGATAATTTTTTCACTCATTATCGATAGCCACACCCACCCTCAAAAATACTCGTTAACAACTCATATCTACATTCTGAATTATTTATTAGAGGATTAGTTTCTTCAGTAACAAAATATTTAAATAAATGAATGTTTTTATTGATTAAAATAAAATACGAGGCGTTTAAACATGAAAAGGCGAACAAATGAAAAAGAAATCGACGGAGTCTCTCTCCTTCATGCTCAGTCAGCACAAATCAAATGAGAACATGTATAAGAAAAAAAGCATACTTAAAAGATAGAAATGTTAGGAATAAAAACAATATTAGATTGATTATTTTATGTTTGCGAATATAGAAAATCTATTTGCATAAAAGTAAGTTTTTAGTCTTATTTCTAAATGTTTTCGATACAATGAAATTAGTATAACAACCAATAGAAATGGGAATATAATAAACAAAATGGCTTAGACTCGTCAAAAATAAATTCATTTGATAATAATTTATCTGATTATATATTGCAACAATGACGGGAAATAGATTAAAAATAATATAAACAGTAACATTGATAAATAAAATTCTCATCAGTTGATGATCTTTAAAACGTGAAGGATTCAAAGTATTACCACCGACTGTTGTTGTTAGAGGAGCAGCTCTTGTACGATGTGAAGATTGGATATTCTTAATTGTATATACTTCGAAAATAAGCATCAATATTGGTATTATGATGGTTTTTATTAATCCATAATAATTTGCAAATGCTAAATATACAGTAGAATTAGTATAACAAATATAATAGTTCGGTATAACTTCGATAATTCTGAAGAAAATGAATATATGAATATGAAATAACATCCAACATATTGTACCACTGATAACAGATCCGTATGCTAGATGACTATTACTAAATTTACGTGTGCGTGCATTTCGTGAAGTGACTAACATTCGATCAATTGAAGCCAGAATAAGATAAAATGGACTGAGTATATCGAAAACATATCCAATATAACAAATAAAACGACAGAAAGAAATACCCGATACTGAAATATCAATATTATAACCATATGCTAATATTGCTTGTAAAAAAGTTGTGCAGATTTGACAAAGATTGGCAATGTTATATGCGATAAAATAGATTGAACATGGATTTTTTCGAAGACTTTTCGTCGAAAAAATAAGCAAACTAAGTATGCAACCTACACTACCGACTACCATCAAAAGCGGACCACCATATTGATATAAATACATTTATACTAATGATCTGATATAATGATGAAATCCTGCAAAATAAACACGAGAGATGGATAGTATAATCACACCCATACCCAGCAGTGTTTTCTCCTCAGCGCTCTTATCTCAGTGAAAAAAAATAAATGATAATATTCTCATTAGTAAAAACTTTTTTTGTTATAAAAATAAAAGTTTAATGAATGCAATGTAACAACATAGTTGTGATTATTCAAGCGATACCATTTAGATGAAAAAAAATGTTGTTTTTATCGAAAATGTTGATAATTCTGAATAGCTCTTCTCTCAATGTTGGACAGAAGATTAAGTTTAAAGTGGAATATTTTCTGTTTGATTGATAAATTAAAATATTGTGGAAATATATATCTCCAAAATGGTTTTACAATATGGGTCGTGTTATAATATAACTATGTCTTTATTAGCTACATATATTGTTATTTAGAACGAGAGAGTTACACTTACCTTAAATGCAATGTATCAAAACTTTGATCGGTTTCGTGATAAAAATAGCTATTAAAAGAAAAAACGACTTCGATAGTGAATAAAGATAAAGAAGAATATTAACTGAATGTAATCAAAGTCAATAAAAAAAATGCTGGCTTTTTTTAGAAAAAGAGCGATAATTATCCCGGAAAGAGATAAGTGAAGCGGATCGAATCAGTCGAAAGCGCAGTTTTACAAGTATAAAAATAATGTTCTTTTTTTATAATTAAAATATAGATTGCTCGTATGGGAAAGGGAATAATTTGAAAGAAAACAAAAGAAACGTGTTGTTATTCACATCTTGTGGCTACCTATGTGAAAAATAATCACAAAAAAACCTTATTTTAATCACGGGGATTATGAAACGAAGGTGTGGGTATATTAACATTGGTATCTACACCAACACTCATACCTTTCTTAACAAATTACCGAACAAGTAAAATAATAGAAGTAATTATGTTTTCTTTTTTCACTATTTCTCATTTTTCTCTTTTAGAATGTTGAGACTATTCATACAAGTATTCAACCGAGTCTTATATCCTTGTTCATGAATAGACATATAATTAATACATCAATTATTTTAACAGATAATTATCAAAAGAAAAAACAACAAGCTATCATGTATATGTAAAATTCATCGAAAATTATATAAAAAACATCGATGTATTACGCTGTCTCATTTTAGTATTGATTAATTTATTTTTTAATAATTACACTTTAACTACCATATGAAACTATTCTCGAAAGTTTTTCAAGCTAATAATAGATCTACAAAATATATTATCATGCTTTGTTATTTATCATATTCAACGTTGAAGAAACAGACTCTTCAAACTTACTAAAAAAAGAAACAATAATGAGAATTTTTCTCATTTTAAACAGGAAAATAATAGCGGCACATTTATTTTATTTTTAAAAAATAATTACTTTTTGATCTACAGCGCAAATCTTTCGCATTGATTTTCATTCACATTACTCGTCTGTAGAAACCTTATGATGTTTATTTATATTGACCTTTTGCTCATAATTACATTTTATAAAAAACAACAATCACCACAATAAATATGACTACATAGTTTGCATTGAAAATCATAGGACGATCACCAGGATGACTAACACGGCCACGATAACGATGTACCTTGAAACATAAAGTTACAACAGGACCATGATTACCTGCACATCGATTCGTGCAGCCATCAAATTGGCAAATAAAATGTAGTACTCTCTCTAACCGCCTAGCATCTTCTTGCGCGTAATCTAAAAATATAAGTAGGAGTCAAATAAATTCACTGTCAAGAACTTCTTTAAATCGTAGTTTTCTGTTAGAATATTTAGCTATACTAATTGATAAGAGATTCGAATTAGATTAGTTTATATGGATAAATATCGAAAAACACAGTTGCAATTGAAACTGTTCTATATAAAACAATCGTGGCAGATCTCGGTAACAATTCAAAATATCCTTTTAGCACTAAAACACAAAACCCTTAAAGTACAGTTCATACTTGCACTTATGTAGCCCTCAGGTCGAGAGCCCATTGTCTGAAAGGTTCTGTTAATGGAAATATTAATACGGTGACACTAACGAAGTTATCCTGGGAAACTGAAATATTTCCTTCATCATCCATTTGATCGTCATCGAAAGAAGAACTTTCGACAATAAACTGTTTTGGATTAATACTCAGAACCCATTTTTTGAATTTTTTATACTCTATCCAAAGGCGTTTTAACGGATTTTCGCTCGCCATCGATGGTATGAATATAAAATGATCTGAAGAATGCATATTATAGTGTACAATATTGTCGATTGAGTTTACCTATTCGTTATATTTTAAGTGAAAGAATAAAAGGTACACTTTATTTTACTTGCTTTTATATTTTTTCTTTGTCACGTGCGTGAATGTATAACCATTGTGTTGTCTCGAAACGAGCAAAAAGCGCCTTGAGGCTATGAGTATGGTTGCTGTTACAGGAGTGAAGTCATCTTTTCTTTATCTTCACCCACACCCATTCTATCGGGTGGATATTGAGTTCGTCATTCACTTTCATTTCCAGGAATATTGCGTACCATCTGAACTGAATACATAAATATTTTACTGATTCTATATTAAGCAGTATACGTTTGCGCCGCGGATATCGATTACGGTGTAAAAGGTATTTTAGAGTGCACACAAGCCATTAATCATCTTATCAGCTTTTCTCCGAAAGAAGTTTAATATGCGTAATTTATGTCTCACAGTAAAAAGAATTTAACAAACGCAATAAAAGATACTCGAGTATATTTACTAATACTTCATTTCTGCATATAATAATCTGATAAAGCTAATAATAACAAAGTTGACTAATATTGTTATCAAATAGCAAACAATTGATAAGCGAAAAAAATAGGAAGTATACGGAGTATATAAAGCTAAAGATATTGAAGAGATTTATATCAATTTACTGTACACTATCAAACGATGATTCAATTTACTGGTATTGTTGCTGTTATTTTATTCAATTTCCTGACGAACACAGTCGCAGTTTTCATTTGTCCACAGGTGAATGGGACTTTTGTCAATCGAGATGATTATCGATCATTTTATCAATGCATAAATGGAATCAATATGCTTAAATACTGCCCATCGGCAACTCAATACTACTCGACAGGCAATGCAACTTGTCAGGAGGGCCCAGCCGAGTGGAACTACGTTTATGATCTGACTGGAATATACACTGTCACAGCTAATGTAGAGTATCGACATGTTTATCAACGAGACTATGATGTCTATTGGACAAGTGATACACCTACTGTAGCCAACACATTCATTGGACGCCACATTAATGAAACGCACATTGTTGGCATTCAGACCCGTCTTGTTCGATTAACAGGCTGCACATCAGTTCTCAATGCTCGTATGGTGGCCACCGGTAGTAAATCGTTTTGCCAACATACTAGTCTTGCCGTTTTCGGACGAGCATGCGATTTAGTAGCTCCTTACTCGAGCGATTTATGTATTTCACAGTGACACTGAATAATATGTGAATCATTTCAATGCTGTTTCTTTTGCTTAAGCTTATTTTTTTTGAATGACTTTTACTTATCTGCCTCTTGTAATTTTAGATGAAACACTTCTTTTTTTATTGGTTATTGATTTTTTCTCAATCTTATGTGGCAAATACGAATCGTTTACCTGGTCTGGACGAACTCATGTCTGGGTTCGATGCAGCCAAGATGCTGTCGGGTTCTGATCAACAATCAAAATTTCGAATTCTGGACTTGAGTGAACAATCAGAATTCAATTTTACACTTGATGTTCTTGATCAAAAGCAAACATTTTCTACACCACTTCTTGGTCAAGTGACCGACATCAGTCTTCGTCGTGAAGTTGACTGTGAAGATATATCCTATTCATTCGAAAAATTCTATGAAAGGTAAATAATATTTACATTCAGAGTTTCGCGCAATTATTATATTTAATTCTCTAGTCATTTTCGCTCCTATTCTTTTGGTGGAGGTATTGCTGTGCCTGGCTATGCTAGTCTTGCTGTTCAATATAGTGAAACATTAAGACGAGCTCAAGAAGCGATTACAAAAAATAATCAGGCAATTGGTACATCAACTTTATGGTGGGGTCTGTATTCAATACAACTGGCACCCGCATTTCAACTCAAGTAAGAATCATCCTATATTTCACTTCAAAGGATTATCTTTTCATTTTTTTATCCATCATCTTCTTTTTTACTAAAATAAATCTCATTGCAGATTCGATCAAATGTTCAATTCGAGTATCAACATGCTCGCCAAACAGGCATCACCACCTACTACTGAAGATCATCAACGACTGTATAATCAATTTGTTGAATCATATGGCACTCATTATGTTTCAAGGGTGATCATGGGTGGAACAGCATATGTCTACTCGTTTATGAATTCAAGTTATCATTCCACCGCAAATACTGAAGAGACATCACAACAAATTAGTCTGATGTTTCAATACAAAAAATACGAAGGTCAAGGAAGCTCAGAAAGTATGGATATATTCCAAAAAATTACAGAAACGTTCAAAAAGAGCACAAAAGTCATAACAGAATACCATCCGCCTGTTAGTGTCAATGATGGAGACAATCAAACGGAATGGAAGTGAGTTATAATATAAATAAAGCCTCGATTTCATTGTGGATTGAGGATCGAGAAACTAAGAGATGAGTATGCCCCGGTTAGATTTTATTTTATGTGATTTCCTAAATTCCAAACGAAGAAAATGACGCGATCCAGTCGCCACAATCTATTTGAAAAATCTATGTGAGAGCTTTTTCTAATTCGTGTATTTTGCAGTGCTTGGCAACTAAAGGCGGGAAATCATCCAGTCGTAGTTAATCGAACTCTCACACACCTTGCCGAGCTCGTTGCTTCCAACAAACAAATCCAAGTACATCTTCGTGAAACTATCGATTATTATCTTGCCAATGGTAAATTACCTACTTTGGCTCAAATTCAATCAAAAGCAGCAGCTGCTCCTCTTTTTTCCACTGATCGCACACCAGTTGGTCCTCTAGCTGGTCTCGACGTTGTCGGCTGCGGATTTGATGTTCTTTTACTTGAAAGTAAATTATGTATCTTAGATCGGACAAATACAAGTGAAGGTGAGCTTTGGTCTGATCCCTACAACGATACGATCAGTTATTCTCTGCCAAATGGTTTCTTTGCCACCAATACTCCAGAAAAACTTCTTGTTGACATTACCGTACTGGTTACATCAATTCAAGATTATTTTCGTTTGACGAGCTCGACAACTTCGAGTAGTAGTGGCGGCTTTTTTGGCGTGGGCCGCAAGCATAAGGAAACGACCGTCACCAATTTCTATCGAAGATTCTATCATGATTATTATAATCTGGCATTACGCTTGATACAAATTGGTTGGTATAAACTTTCAGCTAGTACATTTCCTTATCCTCGACTTACACCACTTGCTCAACGTGCAATAGATCAGTTGCCATCGATATTCAACCAAAATGACACCAATATATGGAAACAGTTCTTTGATTCGTATGGTACACATCTTGTTGAATCCTCGAACATGGGTGGTCTTGTATGGGCTGAAACATGGTATGAAAAGTGTTTGACTTACGAACATACAGAGACTTGGATTGACGAACAAGTATCACGTAGTTTTGTTGTTTTTAATACTCATTCTAGTTCACAAGATCATATGCTTGAAATAGACGAAAAGTTTAAACAATTTTCCATATTTTCCTCTCAACTTCTCGGTGGAACCGAGTCTGTTGATCCAACAAAATGGAAAGAATGGGAATCCACGATCAAATTTAATCCGAGACCGATCTCCTACCAACTGGTCACACTCGATAAACTGTTACCCGAAGGCAAAAAACGCACAGCACTCAGTGAAGCAATCAAGTATTATTTAGGAGAGGCCGTGGATGAAGATCGCACATACATTGATAAACTTGAAGCAGATCGTGATCCATTACCTCCTACAAAATGCAGTCGAAATCAAGTGAATAACACGAGAGATGCCGTCACTATTCATCATAATACAGCTCGCAACATCGAGGAAGCACAAGAGGAACTATGTCTCTACGTGGGATATAAGGGTAAGATTTGCTCTCAGAGTAAACAGATAAATGATACAACAAATCAAGGAAACGATAAGGTATGTTTCATGATTGACCACACGTTTTCATTACTTGTCTCGTATAGCTTTACCTTGGTGTTGGCATGACCCTCGACATAACAACGGGTGAGCTTCTGCTTCCAGCCCTGGAATATACGTATTCGAATATCACAAACTGGAAAGATCCTCTCACAGGTCGTGTGTATCTCGTGCCTAAAGAAGTGAGCTTACCATCAATCAATGACAGCGATTCAGTTCCTGTGGCACATGTCTTTCTAACTGCGGCCGAATTATCAAGCAAATGGCGCTACGATCGATTACAAGGTGCCTGGCTAGGTGGTGAATTCGGTCATTCACAATCTCTGTTAGACATATACAAAAAATACTTTTCGTCTGATGAATCTATTGCCATCACTCAACAACCGACTATCCTCTATCGAATGCGTGTTGAAAATTTTCAATTAAATGCTAACGCGCGTGCAGCAATAAGTGCACTTCCTCCAACTTACAATGAATCCCTTTATTCGGACTTTCTCCGGTACAGCTGTCTTCACTTTCTTTAATGAAAATTGCACAATTTTATTCCTTGTTTTTTAGTGCTTGGGGAACTCATATTATTCAGCAGTCACTAGTTGGTATGCAGGAAAATAAACCTTTTATTCTTTGAAATGATGCATTCTTATTTTAGGTGGCATGCATGAGCAACACGTACTGTTCAAAGACTGTGTATTCTCCTTTAATGGTGCCATCACTTCAGCGAATCTTGACGAGTATCTCAAACAGGATATTCTCGCTCAAACCCTCGGAAATGATTTTTACGCGAATCGACGTCAGATCAAAGTGGATCATTTACTTGGTGGTGACCCAACTTTGACTAATTATACTCTATGGCGTAAAAGTCTCGGTGCTAATCCTGCATTACTCAAAATCGAACACTACACACCGTGGTATGAAGTTGGGATGCTCAGTACTGCTGTGAAAGAAAATCTTCGTCGAATTATTCAACGTCGAACAAGCGAAGCTGATTTTACTCGTACGCTTGACGAAGTTACATTGAATAAAAAGCTTCTTAACCAGAATCTAGAAGAGAAGAAAGCCTATATTGGACTATTAAATGACGGCACATGTTCCATTTCAGGTCCGATAATGCTGGGATCAGTCACAAAATGTATCAATGGATGTGCAACACCAATATCAATTAATTCAACGGCAGACTTCATGGAGAATCGACCACTAGAATATTTTCGCGATTCAGAGACAGGTTTTGTACGTGCACATCTTCGAATTAACTCCCGTAAGTTTTTTTACAATGAAAACTAACGACAGTATTATGTTTGTTTGTCTTTTCAGAAACAACTCTTGACGGACCACGTATTCATATCGGCTGTTCGTCAATTAGTACACCAATGCTGGTTAGTCAATCGGTGCATATCTGTGTCAAATGTGAATTGATCAACAGTTTTGCTGATCAATGTACATGTGTATGTCCACAGTATCCTCCACCTATCAATACAACGGTTACTACTCCGACATAATGAATTAATTAACCGAGCATAGTGTTGTATTTACACACCTCTTTTCTAAAACATTTTACAAGACGCATATCTTTTGTATATTTCTTGTTAGTTTTAACTTTTGCTTGATTTTCTGCTGTAGCTGCTTGTTTATACATATGCTTAATAAATCTGTATTGCAAGAAAATGTTCATATGAATAACATGGATATTTTTAGTTTAGGATATCGGTTCATTATCAAACCACCCTTAAGATGCTTTATAATTCTTATTCGTTGTAGAGAATTGAAATGACAGCTGATAATTCTTTCTAAGAGTTTATACTAATTTTTTCTTTCAATTCAAAAACTTAGCAAATAACCCACACCTATAGTATCATTCTGTGTCAAAATTCTTTAGCATTTTGTTATATGATTTTATGTATACATTTGTGTAGCATTAAATGGACCTTCATCACTGATCAACGATGCGAATGTTTTATGTTGTAATACATCATATATATCATACCATTGACCATTTATTGTAACCATACGATTGATTAATCGTATACCATGACTATAATCTTTATAGAAACGATCATGTGATGCATAATTTAAGGGTTGAATCATTTGTCCTGACGGATACCACCATCCTACAATAGCTACATTTTGTGGCTTTGTTAGTAATCCAATAGAAATAACTACATCTTTTTTATGACCACTTATAAGTTCACCTGGAATTTTATTCGTAAGTGCTGCTTGAATTTTATTATTATGAAATATCATTCTTTCAGTTGACATCATAGTTGCATCGTACGGTGCACCATTAGGATTAGGATTTAGTTTAATTGTAGCTGCTTGCCAGATTTGATGTGCCATTTTTCTTGTTGGTAAAATAGCACTATACAGATCTGCTATTTTCTTTGCTGTTAATGGATTCATTGGTGTTCGTAAATAATCTTTATCTGTGCCTATACAGAGAACATCAGGAAGGACCCAATATATGAGTGTATCATTTCCAGCAGTTACTGTAATAGGAATAGCATTTCTCATAAAGTCAGGAACATTTCCAGCTTGAAATTGTGCAAATATTAAATCTTCTCTAGTTTGAGTTGGACCTACATTCATTATCGAATTACCAAATTCAGTTCCACTAATAGTACGTGTTGGTATTGTAAATACTGGCGTGTTTGTTTGTGGAATTTTTGATAATATTCGTTGGAATGTTATACTTTTACTAAGATCAATGTCTTGATCAAAAATTTTCACAAGATCACTAAACGCAACGTTAAATATTAACATAAACACTATAGTGTAAACTTGAATCATCATTGTTTTTCTCAAAATTCGAATATTTCTTTAATTGAAGTATGTTGAAAAGAGTATATAAAAGAATGATATGGATCAAATCTGTATGTAAAAATCACATTTATATTCTTATCTTATTAAAATGGATCGATGTGAAAAAAAAATTAAAAGAACCATATGTTAACTCTATAATTTGAAAACAATCATTGATAACACAATAGGGTGTAGGTGTGATTGCCATATTCATGTTAGCAAATTATACTTGCTTGATAAATAGTTTCACAAACGTCTGCATATGGATATCAAACAATCTTAATCTGCATGCATATCTTTCATTTTCGCATTAAAAGAATCCAGAAACGATAGAAGTAGAAAATAAGGATTAGTACTTGAAAAAATGTGTGAATTTGACTTTGAATATGCTAGATAATTCTGACTACATCATAGCGTTCATATACTTTTTATTACTTATAAGAAAAAAATAAAGCTCAAATAAAAACGATCATTCAAAATTGACAAACTTTCTTAAATCTTGTGTCTTAGCTGATACTATTATATTCTGATGTTCTTGGTCATTCAATTCATTTTTCAAGATTTCATTACATATGCCTCTTTGCATTGTGAATACAAAACATGAGTTTTGAAAACCAAGTTGTCTTAATCCTTTTATCAAACGTGAACCAGCATTATTAGGTGATTGTTCATTGCTACGATGCATATCAGTAACAATACGAAGTGTATTTCGATTTTTTAAAATCTGTCCAAAGAGTGATCGAAGAAATGATAGAGCATTTTCTGTTGATGATTTAGGAATGAAATGTACATTCTTGTTCAACTCTTTAGCTGCTGCATATTCCATATGCTCTTTATTTTCCCATTCTGGATTAAATATATTGTCATCGACCCATAATACAGACCATGCAGATAGACCTAACTCAACCTGACGCATGTAAATACTATGTTGACGACCATGATGACTAGTTACATGTTTGAAGACGAGAAATGTTGAATGTGGTAAAAAGAGAACTTCATCTTCTTCTGGATAGTTTGAAAATTCCTTGATTGGACGACCAGTCAGTGAACAGATTTTGAAAAATGTATTTCGACCGGCAAAACCAGCATTACTAGCTACTTTTTTTCCTTTCTTTGAACTACTAAATTGAATCCATGTAATCAAAGCACCAGCTGTATAAAGTTCTAATTCTTCGTCTTTCAATTGACAAGCTCGTGTAACATAACCCCAATAATAGGGTATGTATGAAAGAGCTTTGACTTTGACTAAATAATAAAGAATAATTGATGCTTCACTCAGTTCTTGAACTATTTTATCATCAATAACAACTCCATTACTTTGCCGTGCAATTAAACTAGCACCTCGACTACATGCTTCACTTTTCGATCCAGTATAAAATGAAATTGCAAATGCTGCTGCTAAAGATTCATCTTCAGACAAACCTTTCCCTACGAAAAATGAATATGACTGAGCAGCACGTGCATCATGCTCTGCAATTACATTATCCACATGTATTCCTCGTCTGTTTTCATAGTGACGACAAATGTTTCTTAGTTTTTGTAATGATGCTTTTTCTGCTACGAAACCCGAAAGGGTACTGTTAAAATTATCTTCATAAACAAAGTGTTCGTTACGTGCATCCAGAAGTTCTTCAGAATTATGCTGTAATTTCATATATTCAAGTAGAAATTCCACTTCTTCAGATTCCATGATAGTAATACTTCCAGCAGTTCCATATTCATCTAGATCTGTTTCTCCATCAGATGTGATCATATTTTTCAATTTGTTCAGTTGTTTGGTGTCTTGTACATAACCAACTAATATCATATAGCAATCATGTGATAAACGATGTTGTGCTGTAGCTGTTCGTGGATTAAATCTTTGTAAATCGGTGATAATCTCACTAACCGATCGTGACATATTTGTTTGATTATTCTGAAATGAAAATGTAAGTATTATATACTCATCTGCTTTTTACACCACAGCTAAATCAATTTCTATACCATGAACTCATACCCACATTCTCACTCCTTTACTGGTAAGTTTCGAAAAAATCATACAAAATGAAGAGAATTACTCAACACTATTGTAAGTAGACATAACATCTTTCCGTGAAAGTGTGAATCAATGTGAGATATAAAATTGATATATTTGTACAAATATTAGTTGTAAAAGATTCATGCTGTTACTTAAATCTAGTTCACTAATCACAATTAAAGCTGATGTGATAACATGCGTAGAACTCGATCAATAACTTGGAAAGTAACATAAATATGAATTAGATACGTTTTATAAATAATTCATAGTAGTATATGACAATCTATAAGACTGAACCCGTTCTATAGAAAACAAGTTAAACATACTCTCCTAAGAAAAATAATATATTTTTAAAAAAAACTTGTCTAACTTGTGTTTTGCTACTCTTACTTTTTTTTTCTTACTTCTCTGTCAATATAAGTTACTATACTTTCACTTCATTCACCGAAACGTGGCGTAAATATTTTACCGTTCTTTTTCTTCTTTTTCTTCTTTTTCTTGAAATTCAAACAATAGCGCATAGAGAGATTTATTACCAATAATATTTGCACATTCCAATTTCAGTTGTTCTCACAACTCCCACATGAAAAAAAAATAGTTAAAGAATTTGTTCTCTTCTTTTCAGAAAGCAACAACAATTTTTTCCGTGAATGTTGTTGTTATTACAAAACAAAGATCACTAATGTAATTTTGCTTACTCGTTATTTAGTGTTCTAAAACAGAAATAAGTTTAATAAGGAATAAAAAATGGTATTGTGTTTTATCTTCAGTCATATCTATATCTACTATAGAACTAACATTCCTACATCCTAAACTATTACAACTAATCACATGTACAACTACATACTGGAGGAACTATTAATATTAAAATCGAAGATGAGAAACAAGCGAATCAGTTGTAGTATTCTAGCAGTTTAATATTTGAGGATTTCGAAATTTCCTCAGTATACACTGGACTTTTGCATTTATCAATCATTCAGTTGTTTTAGCGGCGAAAGTTTACAAAAACAAAAGTATCAAAAGACAATAATTAATTTTCTTTTCCACAAATTCCAGAAATTCAAAAGATGATCCAATCGATCGTAAGTATATCAGAATCAATCTTAAGATTAATACATTCCTTATTTTATTAAGCATCCAAAAAAGAGAAAAAAAGGGTGTGGGTGTGGTACAAATACAATACCCGCATCCCACATACCCTCAAGATAAGTTCAAATACCTTTTTAAATATAAGCCAATAATCCGATGGTGTGTAGTATATTAGGTGACAGTTCATAAATCTCTCCCCTCTTTTCTTTTTCTGCATATAATAATGTATAATTTGTTTAAACACATTTAGTTTACTGTCTTATATATAATCTGTGACTTTGAATAGATAAATGAAGAGGGGTGATGAAAAGATATATGAAGATATATATCTAACAATCTCTTATATTTCCGCGTTTAGTATGTGAGAGTTTCCCAGTTTTTTATTGACACATATATAGGAGTCGTACTTTTTTTCTTATCGATCGATTATTACTTCTGTCACATCCTGAAGTGTGAGTGTCGAATAATATTTTATTGTAAAATATACTGCTCCTCACACGTCTATATATATTATGAAATTTGCGTAGGAGAAAGAACATTCCTCAATAACAAAAGGGAATATTCCTAATGGATAGAAGAGAACGGAAGAAACATATATGCGAAATGTGTATACTAATACCGTCTAGAGAAAAGAAAAGAAAAGAAAGAACTAAAAGGAAACGAACGATAACAATCTATGTCCATACATCATAACTTCCTTCGACGCTATTTATTAATATGAATCATGTCGCTTCATATTTTCTTATGCGTCATTGACATTTTATCAGGACAGCACGTGTTTACTTCCTATTATGTCATACTCATCGATATCTTTTCTTCCGCTTTTACAAATATTAGTTGGAATATTTCTCAAGAGTGTGGGTGTAGATGTCAGGTTTTATTGCATTACACACCCACACCCACACCCACACCACACCCTCTTAGTTGGTATTTTTCACATGAAAATACCCAGTTAAAAATTAGTCATAAAATGATGATGTAACTTTTTTCCTTCATTATCATATATAAATGCTCGCAGTAAAGAATGATATTCACTTCTTTATAATAAATATTTTCTAGTAAAATCAATGCATTTAACAAAAGAGAATACAGATACTTTGAAATCTCTTGAGAACAAACAACCAATATCTTTTTTAAGAAACGAAGTACTTCAACGCATTTCGGCTATGTCTCAGAAACTGGAAAAGGAAAATGTTCATTCCTATGATGTTATGGATGCAGCTGGTTGGACCTATATGAAGTCTATTAATACTGCTTATTGTAAAACATGTGGACTGAGAGTATCTGAATGGACTAAAGAAATGGATCCATTTGCAATTCATGCAAAGCAGAGTCCTACTTGTTTATTTGTTCAATTTAAGAATACAAATGAATTGTCATTTTCTCATATATCAACTGCAGATAATCAACAAAAGCCGGTAAAACGTCTAAAGATTGATTCAGACAGAGAAAATGTGTTAATTGAACTCAAAAGTTTGAAAAATATCCGTCGTCGTACATTCTCGCATTGGCATCATGAACGCGGAATTACAGCAGCACAAATGATTTCAGCTGGATTTTTTAATTGCAATGTTGGTGATAGAGTTATTTGTTTGTATTGTAATTTAATCTGTCAACAATGGACATCGGATACTGATGATCCTGAAGAAGTTCATTGTACTCTGGCACCTCAATGTCCTTATGTTCGATCTATGTTAAAATTTCGACAAACAAATGCAATATCAATTGTAAATGAAAATTATACGAACGAAAATTCGAATGGTCAATTACAAACATCAACTAATTTGAGATTAAATGAAATTGTTCTTACATCAGCATATCAGAACTATATGGAAATACCAAAACGTCTAGCATCATTTACTTCTTGGTCTGAAAAATCACCACCATTAGTTGATGATCTTGTACGAGCTGGATTTTTCTATACTGGTACAAAAACAATTGTTACCTGTTTCTATTGTAATGGGTCATTACAGAACTGGGATTCAAAAGATAATCCAATGGTAGAACATTGTCGATGGTATCCAATGTGTGCTTATGCAAAACAGCTATGTGGTGATGAACTTTATAAAAGAATTCAAGAATCAAAACGAAGATTACAAAGTTTGTTTTAAATTTTTATATAAATAAATAATTAATTTTATTTTTTAGAGCGTAATGAAAAAAATCAATCGAAAAGAAAACACAGTGACTCCTCAATAAACACTTCTCAATTATTAGTGTCAGATGAAAATACTTTATCACGATTGGTTGCTGCACGTCTTGATTTGCCAATATCTCAACAATTGCTTAGTCAAAATTTTAAATTATCAATTATTAAACGTTGTTGGGAAGATCAACTACGACTGAAACGTAAGAATTATTCATATGATTAAATCTAATAAATTCATGTTTTTGTTTTCGTTTAGAGGATGATTTTACGTCAGATACTGATCTTTTAATTGCTTGTATTATTTTACAAAAACAAATTATTCATATTGATGGAAACAAAGAAAATATTATTGTTCCTAGTATGAGAATGAAATCAGTTCGTGAGAAAGAACAAACTCGTAAGTTAAACATTATCTTATTGATAAAAATTTATTTTTTTGGATTTTTAGAAACTCTAACTTATGAACAATCTAATTTATCATCGTCTACGGTTTTTACTGAAGATCTATCCACAGAAAATCAGTTTAATACCAAGGATATTACGACATCGACAACGTCAAATAACGAGATCGAGAAAACGAACTCTGAAAACAGTTCATCATCATCAACCAATTTATGTGTTCTCTGTTTGACAGAAGAGAAACGACTTGCATGTATTCCATGTGGACACTTAGCCACTTGCGTTTCATGTGGTCATTCCCTTCGAACATGTCCAATCTGTCGAAAAGAAATTAATGCATTTGTTCGTATTTATATCTAATTTGTAAATAACTAAAATTCTCTATGGAATTCAAAATATATTTTATTTTAAATTAATTAATGATTAAATATCAAGAAAAATCTTAAATTTCTAATTATATTATTCTTAAAACTGTGTTGCTAAATCTGTGAAAACTATTTGTTTAATAGATTGATTCTTCTTCTCTTGTATTAATATTCTATATCGATCATCTTTTTGTTTCATTTGTCTACGAAGTTTGAATGGAACACGATAAAACCATATAATCATTCCAATATGTAAAATAATAAAAAAACTGAAAAAAACACAAAAAGCTCCTCGATCTAAATACATAATCCATGAATTTTTTGTTACAGAATAATTTGTTGTAGATTCCCATGCAATAACACTAATAATACTATGCCATATTGCATGAAAAATAAGATTAAATATACATAATAATCCATATTTATCTAATGATGTTAAATAAGAAATTGTTGGCTAAATTGAGAAATATTTTCATAATTATTAAATTAGAATAATTTCTCTTACAAGTGATCGATTAACTGTCCAACGAAATGTAATTGATGTTAAAACAACTGTACATGTTACTTGAAGTCGATTTACTAAATTTCTTATGAGAGAAAAAGAAATTTTTACTACAAGTTGTTCTTATAAGCTTAGATTTATCAATAACTTACTGTAATGGTATTCCAAAAGTACAAAAAGACAAAAGAGTAATTAAAAAAATAAGACAAAATCCATTCCAAAAGAAATATTCGGACTGACGAGCTTTTAATAGAAAAAATATAGTTCATTTTTTTATTTTTGTTTAATTACAAACCCGCATGACAAGTAACTGTTAAAATTGAACGTTTTCGATTTTCTGTATTATTTGTTATTTGTTGATTATCATTATCTTGATCATCATCATCATCATCATTAGTTTGAAAGAGAAATTCATTGATATATCTTTGTTTTGTATCAATATGTTCATATAAAGACCATTCTTGTTGATCAACAAATGCTTCTCTATTAATTCCACTAAAATAGTTTGGATCAGCCGTTAAAATAACTTTATCAGTAAAAAACATTGAAGTTATTGAAACTGATAAACCTTGAATATCACTTGGAAAATGTTGTAATTCAAGTTTTTCCCAAAAAAATCCTTTTATATCTCGATGTTCACAAATATCTATTGTGTGATTTTCTTTATTTAATTTTGCACTATATTTTATTTGTTCTTTTAAATCACCTAGACCATTTTCAATATAAAGTTGTGGATGCCAATAAGATTGTGAATATTTTTCAAGAGAAACTGATTTTCCATTATTTAAACGTTGTTGATCATCTGATGATAAATTATATGAAAATTTTTCAAATAAAATAGACCAACGAGATTCAATAGATACATGTGCTTGATATTTTTCATTTAATGTATCAATTTCACCTGGATTTATAATAAAAAAATAAATATTATTTAACAAGTAACGTTCGTCTAAGGACTCGCTTAGCTCTTTCTCGTAGAAATGGTGTTCTACAATGCTACGGGATCTGTTGCTTATATAACTTGCAAACACTAACATCAGATTCGAAGTCCCTGCATCGAAATACCTCTAGAAATATCTTTTCTGAAACATTGATCTTCGATGTTTTTTTGACCCTGCGGACACACAAGCAAGCAAACAATTAATGTTTACTGGACTCTTCTCTACGAGTAAGAGAATATATTTTATTCATTTATTAATTACCTATTCGAAGAAATACAAGTCGAATACGAACAATAGTTGCTTTATCTATTTGTGATGATAATAGATTCGATTCTATTGTTGTCGTTTGAAATTCTATCAAAAGAAAACCTTTATGTATTATATTGTTAATTTACAAAATTCTATCAAACTCGATAATCCTGTGGTGATTGTTGACATTGGATACATGTCGAATTATTTCTATACCTAAAATAATAAAAGATCGTAATATGAATGAGCACGTTTTGTATCTGTGTTTTTGATTGTTAAATATATTTTAGAAGAAAAACAAAATATATTAAAAGATGTAACATGAAGAACCGTTCATTTTAATTATCTTTTTATTTTCAAGAAACAGGCAGAATGTTACGAACTACTTTGTCCAGTGTCGAAAAAGATTCTAACTATTTCTTCTTAAAGACAAAAGAAATGGTATAATAGTTTGTAATTTTTACTTGCAGTAACACAAAATTTTGATTGAGATGATGGAAACGAGGAGACTAGAAACTAAAATCAGAAGCTGTTGAGTACGAATTTATGTTTGAATAAAAGAAATTATTTATTAAGATGCATTTTTGTTGCGAATATAACTCACCTGTTGAAGGAAGAATCTAGATAAAAATAATAAAAGATATCTTCTTTTTTGTTGTTATTTTTTGCAATGACAATAAAATCAAAAATGAATAATAGTATCACGAATGACATCTATAGAAAGCTCTCGGCACATTAGAAAACTCTGAAGTTTTATATTATGCCGCAAAAAAATGAGATTTACTTAATTCCCGCTCGTACAATAGAAAATTAACGGACAATGTTTCAATGCAAAAAAATAAAACAATCTTGAGTTAGAAGAGTGCTCTTGAAACAATATAGATCACATATCCTATGTAGCTACATTCTTAGGCAAAAGTCTTTCATCCTCCTTGTTTCTATACTATCAAACATTGTATCAACTTTATTATCGAGTAAAGATATGACATACGTGTATTATTTCAGTGAGATATATCTCATATTGAAATAAAACTCTTGTATCATATCTTTTAATGGTTATAAACTTAATACAACGTATATCAACATAGAAACAATGAGGAGAAAGGACTTTTAATCAAGGCTATAAATAATCTAAAGAAAGAAAATTACACTTTTTCCTATCAAAGTTATTTAAGTCAGGTACTTATGTTGAGGATTGACTCATATAAATAGGGTGAGTACAGAAGCTTTTGAGTTTGTTTGAAAAAGTACCTTGGAATCTGTATGCGAAAAGAAGTATATTTTCAAACATAGGAGAAGTGTTTCATAAAACAAGTCTTATTGTAGGTCCTCAGAGATATATTTTTCCAATAATGAATGAGATCTTCCATGATAATAAAGTGTACAACCGAAGCGCAGAATGGAGTAATGGACACCAGATTTTTCCTCACAGATGTTCTTGTTTTTGAAGAATCTCTTGAGGGTGTGAGTAAATGGGTATCCCATCTCGTAGCTCATTCACACCCACATCCATCTGCAATATTAAGAGTCTCGACACAATTTCTATATGTTACAGTTTCTCAATATCTAAAATTTACATTTTCAAATTAGAAATATTCTGATTATTAAAATATGAATCATTATATTATGATATAGTTTTAATTTATACGCATCACATTTCATACTAATGCAAATAGAAGAAATAATGATCACCCACACATTTTTTTTCATTCTGTCACTAATAAACGTCATGTATTCGAGATAGTTGTTTCTTCGCATGACTCTAACATGTGATGAAACAGAAGGAAAGAAAAGAATCTACCAATTTTCAGTGTTTTCGTTGTCCTATGCATCATGACAGAAGAAATAAAAATAAGTAATATGAGTAAGTGCTTTTTTTTCTGTAATTTCGATATATAAAAAAAGAGAAGTAATAAACACGAAGCATACATTCAGATTAAATTTGCAATAATGAGTAACGATAAAATATCTTTAACTTTACTCGAACATTTACCAGTTGAAATATTTTTACAAATCTGTTCTTTCCTTCCATGGCGAGAGCTTGTGACATCTTTCTCTGGCCTCAATTTTTATATTGATTCAATTATTCAATCTATCAGAGGTAAAAATCATGGAATTAGATATAATGATATGGATGCAATAAATCTTCTACAACTATTTCCTACTCTAATTGATCGTTTGGTAGTCGTAAATGCTGATATAGTTGATTTGAGTTCATTAATCAATTTACGTTCACTTACATTGGAATATGGTACTAAGGCACAACTGAACACTATTCGTCCACATTGTTTTCCTAAACTTGAAATTCTTCATATCAAAGGTAATGAACTATGACCATTTTCTTCAAAAAAACTGACTAAAAAAAGTAGCGATAGAGCTTGTAAACGAACAGTCAATCAGTTATTAAAAAGTCAGATCGATATCAATTCAGTATTAGACAGGAAACGATAGTCTAAATTTTCTTTTTCTTTGTAGCACTTCACACGACTTTGAATGATAGTATGGAAACCATAAGTGATTTGTTTCACGTAATATTATCCAATGGTTTTCCTCAACTTCGAATATGTACCGCTTTAGACATTGGAACTGTACCTTTTAGTGACACATGGATAGGATCATCTAGTCTTCAGATGCTGAATTTGAAAATGGAAACCGATCAAGATTATGAAAAACTTCTATCGAAGCTTTCAGACGCTTGTAAATTGACAACTTACGAAAAGCCATCAGTCGATCACATTACTAGTAAATCTTTCTTTTTATTAATATTTATTAGTAAATATGTTTAAAAATATTTTTACAGCATTAAGTGTTAGTGGAAGAAAACGTCTAAATCGTGAGCTTCTGAATCTTAAACAATTAGAATTAGAAAAAAAGTTCATACTTGATATCTCTCCTGCGGCGCCGCTCTTCGATACTAACAAACCGCCACCTCGCTTCAATAATTCGAGAATGGCTAAACGTCCTCTTCGACAAGATGTTACGATTATTCAAGGTCGAATTTTGCTACAAAGTGAACTATATTGTCGTGCTTCATTTCTTATTGAAATCGTATTAGCACAAGACTATCCATTTAAGTGTCCTGAAATAACATTTCTGGATCCTATCTATCATCCAAATATCTCAACATCTGGTACATGTTGCGGTTGTTTGTGTGGTTTTGGCTTTGCAGTTGCTGACAAATATAGACCAACAACATCACTGAGTAGTATTATCACGACTATTATTGACATTATTGATAGCCCTTTTACCAGTGAAGAATCTCATAATCCAGAACGTCTTGTAGAATATCGTAAAGATTACCAGATATTCTGTAAGAAAGCATTAGAATGTACGCTTTCATATGGACGACCACGTTACTAATTTGACTGGAGAAAGTTCTAAGAACATCAAGACAAATTGAGAGAATAATAAAGTTCAATACAATATTATTTTTTTCAATCTCTTGTCAACAAGATAACTTATTTTCTTTTATAAATGAAATTTATTTATACAAAAATAAAACTTCCAGAGCTTTTGTATCGACGTAATAACTATTAAAATCATTTATAAAATCACGAACCGATTTATCATAGCCATCTCTATCATCTTGATGATTATGGCAAGACCACAGCGTCAAGAGGGTGAATGTAGGTTTTGTATGTATCCATTTACATTCACTCATATCCTGAAAACGATGAAGAAAATATCATTTATTCTTATGAAATCTTCTACATAAAATCGATATTTGTCTCTAATATCAAATTCTATTCGATTATGATATACAATTTCATCAAAGTATGAAGATTAGCATATAATTTATTGAATAAACGAAAAAGAAAACTATTAAAATAAGCAAGATAAATATAAAGAAGAATAAATCGATAAAATGCTATATAGATAAAATATCACAATTAATGTTTTAAAAAGAAGGTCTGATGAGTAAGAACTTTGTCTGTAGTATTTTAGAGTTTCGTAAATTTTTGAACACGTCCATTTCCTGTATCACCAATATACATATTCATTGCTGAATCAAATGCAATACCTCGTGGACCACTTAATTGTGTTGCACCATTACCCGAAGTACCATTGCCAGCAATTGTAACACCAACATTACTATTGGCACAAAACAATTGAATTCTATTGTTACCACCATCAGCGATATAAACATTCATATAAGTATCAATTCTAATTCCCGTAGGACTATTTAAAAGAGTTGAACTAGAACCTGATAC